AGGTTTATAGGTGTGAGTACGTAAAGCATAGTTTATTCCTGTGTTATTATTTACTTATTGTATTACTTATTTGTATTATTATTTTTTGTATCCTTACTTGTGACTTATCTTTTAGGTAAAGATGGCTGGTATTTAACCTACATTTGCCCACCCTTGTGTAATGGAAATATCCTGCTGAAAATGCTAATAGTGCCTGTGCTACAAACACTGGAATAGTTTATCTCTATTTGCACATTAAAAATTATGGCTTTATAGCTACTAATGGTTTCATTCACCAGTGGTTGTACACCAGTGTAACGTGTACAGCCGTTTTGATGAAGCTGACAAGATTGGTCCACAAAATATTTTAGTAGCAATTTAGCAAATATTTACTGGGTATAACATGAAAATTTTTACTATGGACGTACAAGGTAGTTTGATTCAGCTCTTGACTTTATAGAGTTTATAGGACATGTGAGGCTAATTACAATTATAGTAGAAGCAGATGGTTCCAAGGGTAACAGAGCAATGAAGGGATAGATTACTTTGGGTTGGGGTTGTTAGAGAAGGCTTTGTGATAAAGACATTTCAACAGGACAGTGAAGAAAATAGGTGGTGACTGTAGTTAAAGCAGTGTGTTTTGTGGAAAGAAGTAGGAAATAAAACTTTGTATAAAGTCAGTGCCAGAAGACATTAGTCATGACGGCTGGGCTAAGTTGTGTGGTGCCATTAAAATGCTGAACCTTGGTGTGGGTAGCATAATATAAATGACAGAATAGTGAAGGATGTTTGGATGAAGAGAACAAAGACCAGGAAAGAGGCAGCAATAGAAAGTAGAGAGTTTAAAGATTTTGAAGGGAGAAGTGATAGGCAATGGTGTGTTGAAGGTTCTAATCCAGTTTTGCCAGGGATTTAAATGAGGGCATAGTTGGACTACCCTTGAAATGTTTGGTGAACTGGAATCTGTATGAAGTGATAAATGTACTAGATGACAAGATCAGGATCTGAAAAGATTTTGATGGACAGATAGTTCACACCAGCAAGATGGGATTGAGTGGAGACAAGACAAGTTCTGTACACACTAATAATCACATGTAAGCTGTAGTGTGAGTCAGCAGTATGGTGTAGTTGCCAAATAAGCTAAGGTAATCATGGACTACATGTTACAGAGGCATGGTATCTAGAAATGGAAGATTAGTAATAGTCTCCAGCTTATTTTGAACTCAGTCTCAATCTATATCATTATGTTATGGATGTCACTATTTGGTGACACTCTCAGAGGCACTTTAGTTTGCCAATATCAGGGAAGGAATGATTAGCCAAGCATATAGAGAACAATTGGGTCATTAGCATTGTGTGCAGATACATGAAGTGCTGTCATTTGGGGGAGGAAAAAGTTATTTATTTATTTTTATCTTCACCCGAGGATATTGTTTCCATTGATTTTTGGAGGAAGGGTGGGAGGGAGGGAATGGGGGAGAGAGAAACATCTATGTGAGAGAGACATGTCAATAGGTTGCATCCTGAATGACCCCAACAGGGGCCAGGGACTGAACCTGCATCAAGAACCCTTGACCAGGAATCAAACCTGAGACCCTTTGGTCTGCATGCCGACACTCTAATCATTGAGCAGAACTGACCAGGGCTATTGTAGAATTTTTAGGGAAGTAAATTTTGATTCAATATGTAAAAAAGACTATAATTAAATGTTGAAAAATAAAGTGAACTTTATATGAGCAGGTAATGGCTTTGTTATAAGAAGAGTTGGGACAGAACAACCACTTCTGGATCAGATTCCAAATCTGAGATTGCTAAATTTCTGGGGATTTTGTGACAGGCTATGAGGGAAGGGAAAAAAAGACTTGTTATTTTGAGCCTAGATGACAGAAATGTTCCAGGCTGTACAACTCCAGTTTCGGTATTTGAAATACTGAAACTGCATTGATTAATGTTCAGAATTCCTCTTTATTTTATTTGGTCACCTCACTGTGGTACTGGATCTGAAAGCTAAATTTCTAAAACTGAACAGCAGCGCCCACCTTCCAAGAGTTTGGAAAGACCTCACTTTTCATAAATTTTGAAACCATCATAGTGTCCTGATACACTAACACTTGAGAGTTAGGGTTTATCAGCAAATTAGAATCTCTCAAGGTTCAGACAGGTTTTGTAATGCCCTTCTACTTTCTAACTCACTGTCACCCACCTGCTGGGATGTAAAGTTTATTTTTGAATTTAACATGATAGATTGGTCTTAAAAATTGAAGAATGAGAAAAGTGAAGCAATTCGTATGCATATGGAAGTGCATGCTTAATCTGCATATGGGAAATGGAGCATTGTGTTAGAAATGTTTATTTCTACGTACTTTTGCTTTTATTTGAACAATTTGCTCAGAGGGTCTTCCTTGCTTCTTCGTGACTTTCATTGGTGAGCCAGTTTACTCCCTATGGGCTAGCTATAATTGTTTCAAGTTTCGTTTAGTAAAATAATATGAAGACTCATAGTTACTTTATAAATTCTGCTAAATCTTCATGCCATTTACATCATTCAGAGACCACAGCCATTTTAAAGATACCTTCTACCTACTCTGCCTTAATTAACCATAGCAGGGTTAGTGTTAATAGATTAGAAGTGAAGAACTTTTTCTCTGTCGATAATGGAACACTCATTACTACTTTGAAGCAGCATTGTTAATGTTAATGTAAGTGGTATAACCAATAATTAAAAAAAAATTTTTTTAACTTAAGTATTCTCTTACAAGAAACAGCTCCTGCTCTTCAACATTTGAGGAATAAAAATATAAAAAAAAATTTGGAAAGTTATGTAAAATCCTGTCATCTTCAAAGTAACTCCTTTTTTCCTTTAAACGCTTTGTATTTCTTTTCATTCTTTTTGTTGTTGTTGTTTTTGTAAACTCTTGGAGTTAAAGACTAAATGACCAAATTGAGAGCCACTGGTTTGTCACTAATCTGATGCTTGATTTAAAAAATCTAGGAAATATATATATCCTAAAACAATTTATTGTGTTAGGTTAACTTATTTGTGAAATAAGATATTGTAGTCTACTTGTCTGTAATCTCATGCAATGATGGATTCAGCCATAACTTCTATTTGCAGGTAACCTGTATATTTCTACTTTTAAGAGGTTTTTGGTCTAAATAGAGTATACTATGATAAAAGTCTGTGGCATGATTTTTCAGCCTCATACAGCAGATAGTTCTATGTTGTGCTGGGCTATCCTGTGAATTGCAGTATATTTAGTAATATTTCTGGTCTCTCCTTACCCACTAAAGACCAACACCAAGCCTCCCACCCCTACTTGACAACCAAAAAAGTTTCTAACATTGTTAAATGTCCTCTGGGAGGCAAAATCATTCCTGTTGAGAACTCTTGGTCTGTGTTAACACAGAAGGGTGTTTTTTCGTTGACCTTTATTGGATTTAGGGATTGTAGAGTATTCTGATGTTTGAACTCAAATCTACAAGTATGCAGAGGAGTCTGGATGGTGGAAGTTTCAGGGAAGGCATTTTATTCAGAGGCATAGCAGTATGAAAACTGTTTGAGAAGTGATGTAAATAGCTAAGATTATAGTATTGTGGAGATAAAGGGATTTTAGGATGGACTTATATAATGTATAAGTATCTGAACTTTGTCTTTTTGGTGATGGGGAGCCTTTGAGAGTTTTTTTTTTTTTTTTTTCCAATAGGCAAAAATTGTGCTTATTTGGGGAAAAAATGTCTCTGGAATAATTATAGAGAATAGATAATCCTGGGATCATAATGACTACAGACTTGAGTGAACTGAGTAGGTGGATTAGGAAGTACAGCTGTTCTGAACTGGAGGAAGGGTGTTGGATCTTTATGTTAAATTTTATATCTGGAGATGGAGAAGGGGGCAGGGAGAGATCGATTTTCTGACTTACTGTATGCTTTTTTTCTCTCTTATGTATCTGTTAAGCAAAAATGCAAATAATAGGGAGAAGAAGGATGGTTTTACTTTTGCCAACGTTTGTCATGAGGCTAATCTATACATTGTATGGAAATTCATGATTCTTTAGTTTGTATAGCTTTACTTGTATGTACATTTCAGGTAGATTTTGAGGCCAAGTGTGGAGGATTGATCAGTAATTATTGTTGCTGCTGATACCATTAACACTACCTTGAAATTTTGAGGTGGTTTTAAGTGTTTAATATATACAATCCACTTTTCTAGATAACTTGAATACTTTTGAACTTTGGGTTTTAAATAACATTGATTGGTTTATTTGTCACTTTGACAAATTGGGCTTTGCCTCTACAATAATATTTTACCCTTCTATGGGATGTGGTTACTTGAAGATTAAATTTACTTTCCACTGTAGTTTAATAGTCCCTACTGTACTTTTACTATAATCTGTCTACTTGTTTTTCTCCAACTTTATTGCGGGCTTAAGGAAATTTAAATGGGGGGAAAAGTAGAGCTGAATTCAAACTAACAAGATTCTCCCTTTTAGACTTAAGAATTTGAAACCGAAAATTCCTTATTGCAACTTTGTGTAAGAGGTTAAGGGGAGATGGAAAAATAAATATAGGTATTGGTTTATGAAAAGCAGAAAGCTTGCTGGTATTAGAATCAGTTTCCCTTGCATGAGGACAGCTGGTTGGCAGGATGGATTTATGTAGAGACATTAAAGTATTCTGGAATCAACCTTTTTGTATTTAAGCTGCTGTAGACTTGAGTCCTAGTTAATCAAGTTTCCTGAATTTCAAGGACTTAACAATTTTTTGCATTAATTTAATTCAAAACTTGTTTAGTGTGTTTTGTCAGTACAATCTTTGTATCTGTCTCAGATTATAATTTCCTTGTACAGTGCCTTTGTGGTAACTACTTCTTAAAGGATAAATTCTTGAGAAACAGTGTTGACATTTTAATTTGTTTAAAAGATTTTGTGTTTGTGTATGGGATATACATATCTTTCTACAGTAAGCACTTAAGAGGATAATATAAGTATTTTAAAAACATGGTGTACTTTTTCCCCTTTCAGTATAATAATCATGAAATTCGTTCTGGAAAACACATTGGTGTCTGCATCTCAGTTGCCAACAATAGGCTTTTTGTGGGCTCTATTCCTAAGAGTAAAACCAAGGAACAGATTCTTGAAGAATTTAGCAAAGTAACAGGTAAGTTGGATTTTTTGGGAAGGAGGTGCAACTTTTAATACTGAAGGTAATTGTATACTTCTATGTGACAAGCACTGTTTTAAACACTACCTTTATGACTCATCGTATTCTCCCTACATCCATATGAGATAGGTAACTATTTTTCAGATAAGAAAAACAGGCACAAAAGGTTTGGGGAAATAACTTGCTGAATGTTATGTAGTTAGTAAGGAATGCAACTGGGATTTGAACTTAGTCTGCAGAATCATTGCGCGTCCTGTTTGGAAGATTGTCTTTCTTGGTGCGTTTGTATGCATTTCTGGTGGTAGCTGACATTCTTAGGATTTTTAGATGTGTAATGATTTGATTTTCCACATTGTAGGAATAATGAGTACTCTTGCTATAAGCAGAGATTATATATTGTCAATATGGTGTAGTTTCTTTGAGCTATAAAACATTAAATTTTTTTTGTTTTATTTTTTAGAGAGAGAAAGGGAGAGGGAGAGAGTGATAGAAACATCAATGAGAGAGAATGTTGATTGGCCGCCTCCTGCATGCCCTTCACTGGGGATTTGGCCCACAACATGGGCATGTGCCCTGACCAGGAATCAAACTGGCAACCTGTTGAGGTGCATGGGTTGATGCTTAACCATTAAGCCACACCAGCTGGGCTTAAAGCATATTTTATAACCATTTCCAAATGATAGACTGCTTCTATTAAAACATTTTTTGTCTACCTAGAATGTTTAACAAATTATCAGCCTGTTAGTCTCCAGGAACTTGAAATTCTTATGTAGCTACTAATATATTCTGTTTCATTTTAAATAAAGCTAATCAATATTTGAGGCTAGAAGAAAGTCATTTAGAAAATTTTTTTAGCGTTTACATGTGTAATAAGAAAAATGTCTAACCATATCTGACCTATACTGCCATTTTTCTAAAGCAGCTATGTAAAGATTTTATGCCTCTGTCATTAATGGAAGCAGAATTGTCCTTAGATCTAATTAAAAAGAATATATATATATTTTTCTGTGTTGGGAAAGTGTTCTGGAAAGGTACATTATCTGAAGAGTCCCTTGTAAAGATAAGTGATTATTTTTTATCTTGATATTCATGTATTATTAGAAATATAAATCATTTGATCTACTTGTTCTTGCTTGTTATTTTACTTAATTTCTCTGGAATGATTACTTATTTCAGAGGGTCTTACAGACGTCATTTTATACCACCAACCAGACGACAAGAAAAAAAACAGAGGCTTTTGCTTTCTTGAATATGAAGATCACAAAACAGCTGCTCAGGCAAGGCGTAGGTTAATGAGTGGTAAAGTCAAGGTTTGGGGAAATGTTGGAACTGTTGAATGGGCTGATCCTATAGAAGATCCTGATCCCGAGGTTATGGCAAAGGTAATGACAGTCAAGTTTAAAAAAAATTTTTAAGGGGTTGGTGGCAGAAGAAAAGGGTGAAGTCTTTGGAGGAGGGGGACACTTAAAAAATGATTCTGTGTTGTTGTTGTTTTTTACCATGTTTTTTAAAGTGAGAAGTGTTCTTTATTAAGGCCATACACTAGAAATAATATGTGCATGAAAGTGAATATAGAAATTTATTCATGGAGTACTTGGCCATAATCATGTAGCTGTCATATTCAATGATAAAAAGTAGTTAGCCTACATGCTGTGGAGACAGTTTGCTTCCATTTTTGTGTGGCTTCTAAAAGCGATCCTTTGAGAATGGTGCCATTAGCTTACATGGGTTTTGTTTAAAAGTCCTATTCCTAAAAATAGTGAACTGTACTGGCCTCAGCAGAGCTGCAGTTACAAGGTTTAGCTATTATTAGGTATCCTGCTTCAGCAGTCAGTTGAGACATCCTATGAGAACAAACATCTCTTGAGTTAACCCTTTACTTAGTAATGCAGTTTGCAGTTAAGTTATTGTACCCTTTGTCTTTTAAGAATCTCCCTAAAATCAAGAGATGAGTGAAATGCCAGAATTGTGAATATTATGAAAAGATAAGTGGTCTTGAGGGCAGAGGCTACTTAGGATTTTTTTTCCCCTCTGGTCTATTAAAATCTCATTGGGTTAGCACTTTGGATAAAGAAATTTTGATGCTATTTCTCGTATTTTAGGAGTAAGTGATGATGTTCCTTAGCCAAAATGGTCACATTTTATAGTTATACTTCGAGGAGCTTTCAGGAGTGAGAGAATTTATCTTATATTTTGAATACTTTCTTTCCCCTTTAGCTAAGATTTTAAAAGCAGGTTTTAATTAATTTTGACCACCAGTGTTAAGTGTTAAATGATCAACAGCCCCTTCAGAGGTCATGGTATTCACGTTTAGGAAATAACCACCTCCATTTTAGTTGCAAATGAATTAATTTAATAACTACTAGGCATGTGTTTGTTTGTTTTGTTTTATCCTCACCCAAGGACATTTACCCATTTTTTGTTCAGATAGAGTGGGAGGGAGAGAGAGGAACATCGATATGAAAGGGACACAGTGAGTGGCCGCCTCCCGCACAACCCAACCAGGGCCAGGGCCAGACTGCAATCGAGGTATGCGTCCCTTGCGGGAACCGAACCCGGGTTTCTCTGGACTGCAGGCCGACGCTCTAACCACTGAGCCAAACTGGCCAGGGCTGTGTTTTTTTTAAAGCAGAAATTAAAGTTACCATGTATACCCTGCCTACACATGCTAAGCCTCCCCCACTATCAGCATCCATATCAGACTTAGACATTTGTTATAATCAGTGAACTTACATTGACACATTATGTTAACTCAGAGTCCATAGTTTACATTAGAATTCATTCTTGGTGTTGTACATTCTATGGGTTTGACAAATGTTTGATGTATTTACCATTATAGTATACAGAATAATTTCACTGCCTTAGGCATCTTTGATCTGCCTATTCATCCTTTCTTCTAAACCCTGGTAGTTATTGATATTTTTACTGTCCGTGGTTTTGCCTTTTTCCAAATGTCATATAGTTGGAATCATACAGTATGTAGCTTTTTAATCTTGTCTTTTAGTTATAAGCATTTAAGGTTTTCTCCATGTCTTTTCATGGCTTGATAGCTCATTTCTTTTAACAGTGAATAAAAGGATTTTTTTGTTTTCAAACTGTTGGAATTAGAAATAAAGCAGTTGTACACATCTAAATGCACATTTTTGTGTGGATATAGTTTTAACTCATTTGCGTAAATAACAAGGCGTATAATTGCTGGATCATATGGTAAAAAAGCATGCTTAGTTTTGTAAGTAGCTGCTCTCCAAATTGGCTATACCAACTTATATTCCTACCAGCAATATTCCTGTTGCTCCATATCCTCAACAGCATTTGTTGGTGGTAATGTTTTGGATTTTGGCCATTCTAATAGGTATGTAGTGGTCTCTCACTGTTGTAATTCATAATTCCCTAATGACATGATGTTGAGCATCTCGTCATAGGCCTTTTTGCCATCTGTATATGTTCTTTGGTGAGATGTCTGTTCAGGTTTTTTGCCCATTAGATCCAACAGGCACGCTCCTTGGTATTTACCCAAATGAGTTGAAAATTTAGTCTGTTTTTTTGTATTTCTAATATTTTAATGGGTTGTGACTAAAGTTAACTTTGCAGGGTAGGTTGGGGGCATTTTGAAAATTGAACTCTTTGGAAATATACAGGGAGTTTCTGTTTTTTTCCCTCTTAAATTTTAGGTAAAAGTGCTGTTTGTACGCAACCTTGCCAATACTGTAACAGAAGAGATTTTAGAAAAGGCATTTAGTCAGTTTGGGAAACTGGAACGAGTGAAGAAACTAAAAGATTATGCTTTTATTCATTTTGATGAGCGAGATGGTGCTGTCAAGGTAAATAATGGGGGGAATTATTATAGGCATTTAATGTAGACTGATTACTTTGCCTTACTAGAATCAGAATGTTTTTTAAAAAATTGAAGGAAACTCAAGTCACGTAATCCACTCATTTTAAGCCTTATTGGCCTTAGCAAATTGTGTAACTCCCTAACTAAGTAAAAAAAAATAAACAGCTGAAGAGCTGGATCTTTAAATAAAATCTAACCTAGCTTGTTTACTCTTTTGCAACATTATAAATGAATCATAATTGTTTGAAAACCTTACATTGATTACTACCTAATTTTTTTTAAGGCTATGGAAGAAATGAATGGCAAGGATTTGGAGGGAGAAAATATTGAAATTGTTTTTGCTAAGCCACCAGACCAGAAAAGGAAAGAAAGAAAAGCTCAGAGGCAAGCAGCAAAGAATCAAATGTAAGTAAAAGTATAAATTTTAATGGTGGGTAGATTAACTGGTGAGTATCAGGTATTGCTCAGACCTTTAAACTGTAACATGTCTCTCTACCTTTTAAAGAGGACTTGAAAGCTTTGAGGCACAGAGAGATGCCAAGAATCTTAAGAAATGTTTATTGAGCTCTTGCTATTGATCATAATGTGAAAATAATCATAATTCCAAATAATTGGAGTTTATATAATAAATGAAAATCAGTCTGGGCTCTTTCATAACATAACTATATGTTACAGAATTCCTGAATGTGTTTTTTAAGTATTAGCTGTCCAAAGTCTAAATATATTTTGTTAAAGGGTGGAGAGTCTTTTCTCAGAGACAGGAAATATTACATCTCCAATTATGATAAACTCTGCTTCCTTTTGTACCAGAAATAGTCGTCTTTACCAATACATAGTACCTGTTGCTACCCCAAAGATAGCATAAACTATGTGTAGGTTTAGAAAAATGAATTGAGTCTAATTAAATAAGCAAACAACAGTTATTGAGGGTAAGAAAACAAGCTTGTAATTTGTATTAATGGATCTTTTTAGAAGACCTATTAGGGGATATCTACTCATTAAGACAGTGAAGGAAACTTTTACTTG